ACTATTACCAGGCTGGAGTGCAGTGGTGTGATCACAGCTCACTGCAGCCTTGAACTCCTGGGCTCAAGTGATCCCGCCTCAGAGTCCTGAATATTTGGGACTACAGGCACATGCCACCATGTCTGGCTAATTTTTTTTTGGTAGAAATAGGGTCTCACTAATGTTGCTCAGGCTGGTCTTGAACTCCTGGTCTCAAGCAATCCTCCTGCCTCAGCCTCTCAAGCACCCCAGATTACAGGTGTGGGCCATAGTGCCTAGCCTAAAGTGTATTTATTATTAAGAAACAGAGAATTCATTTATGATTTACATTCAATGTGTACAATTGCATACTTGAAAAAATGAGAACCAAGGCATTTCCCTCTAATCATCTTTAAAATATACACAGTGGCCACTGGTAAATGTGTAGTGATTTTTAAGGTGAGTTCTTAAATGTTCTACGATTTGTATGAGATTGAACAAATGTATCTAGTTTGCAGACATGTATTGATAAAGACAGGAATCCAAAGCAGGCTGTGAAGAATAAACCTTAAACAGTAACCACTACACTTTCTTGCTACATGCATTTTCTGTGAAAGGTCTGAATCCAAAGTCTTTCATGTCACTGAGTTTCAACACATGTGTATCGTAGCCGTGTGTGTGTGTGTGTGCACGTGTGTGTAATTTTTAAAGCCCTTAAATTTAAATTTATTTCAGAAAGGACACCATCAATGTAGAGTGTAACAAGTTTGCATGAGTGGATCATCAGACCTCTAAATACACCAAGTTCAAAAAAAATGTTAGTTTTTTTCCTAATTCAATTTTATAAACTACTACATCATAGGCTTCTTATAACTTTAAAAGCACAACACAACTTAAATTTACTGTCTTTGATTCAAGTATTTTAACATTTCACATTGTTTTATTGAAGATTAGAAATTCAGACTTTGGGATCTTGACCAAGACAGATTATATATGGAAGGATTAGTGCTAGTCAGAATGCTTTTGGATATTGATTTGTCAAAAACAGCAATTACAACCAAAATTAAATAAGCAAGTAAACCCTGAAAATTTTTGTCAATTGTGCCCTCAAAAACAGGATTATTTTCAACCATGATGTGAAAATGTCTCCAGAGAATTCATTCATTATTAGTTGGAGAATTTAGGTTAAAAAACGTTGAGATGCAAATAATTAAGAATATCAATAAATATATTGTATTTATGTATATCCAGTGAGAGTGTGTCTACTGCCTTTGTAAGTGAAGAATATCTTCAAGGTCTCGTGCCTTCTCTGGCGATCCCATTATTCCATCTTTAATAAATCATCATAATTTCTTAAAAAAAATTTGGGAGCAAATTTTGACCTTTGATTCTCAAGGAATCAAAGGATTCATTTGAACTGGATATTTTCTTGGCCTTCCCTTCATATTACCTGTCCTAGGTAAACTTACATTCAAAACAACCACAAAAACAATCCTGCGTATTTCTCCATGGAAATTAAGTGTGATATTATAAATATAAATCTGGTTCATAGATTGATATACAGGTTCCAATGATTACAGCCATTAACTTTATAAAGAGTTGTGTTGAAGTGATTGAATGACAAGTGACCAGGTTAAAGTCTGAGTTAGGATGACTGGATAACAAGATATCAATTTAGAAGAGAAATCAAAGATGAACTAGATCACCCACCTTATTTGACAGATGAGGTCATGAAGATATCCTTATGAAATATAGATATGTTAGAAGCTTTCACAAAGACAACTTTCATTATAAAGATTTTCTAATCCATTTCCAACAATAAGATAGTTTGCTGTCACACAATGAATTCTTTCATAGGCAACAATACATGTGCAATCAATACAAGTATTCGTGACAAAAATTATGGAAGTACTAGAAACCTGTTCTCTATTTTTAGCAAGATTGCGTCTGGTCACCCCTGCTATTATCTTTACTGGGATATCCAACATTAGCACTTAGTAACCCCTTTCACTACACACACACACACACACACACACACACACACACACACACACACACTGTTATTACTAGAGTTCAGTGGGTACAAGAAGTCAAAGGTACATGTTTACATACCTTTGCGAGAGATTACGGTTAAATTTGTAAAACATACATTGGAGACCATTACACACTATAGGGACAACAATCATTTACATCCCTCATTTAATTTTCATTTCTAAGAGATAATCTAGTAGAGAGTTTAGGCTAAGATCTTGTGGCTTTTCCAATCCAAGGCTATTTCTGCTTGACTAAGACAGAAGAGGAACTGAAAATGCCTGTATGACCAAAATGTTGCCAAGCCGGCTTGTCTCTAAATGCTTTGATTTCATTGGCATTCCATGAGGCAATCATATTGATATTTGCCAAATTAAGCAAAAATAAAGCTACTAAAATAGTCAAATACAAATGTAATAGATGTGTCTGTATGTGTGTGTGTGTGTGTGTGTGTGTGTGTGATCACAGTAGAAAACAGATTAATATAAGAGAACAATGTGGATCTTGAGGAATGATTTTCTTCCTTTACCCTCACTATTTCTTTAAAAGGGAAAGAATGAATGAAAGAGGAAGAGATAAAGCTTATTTAAAGGCTTCATTTCCCAGGGCATATTGGGATGCATTTAAAATTGAGAACAGCCCAGAAACTTTGTGCTGGTTTTGCCTAGATGAGTACTGAATTTCTAAAGACGAGAGTACAAACACAGTACAGACATGCTATCCATTGAAAACACTGAATCTATACAATAGAATAATAATAAAAAAGTATTCTTTATATATAAAATGTCTCCCGGGTACCAAAAGGTCAAATAAAAATCCCACCCCTCCTGCTATGTTCCTAAGTTTACTTTATACTTATTTGAGAAATGTCTCACAGCACTTGTCTCGGTGTAATATTTTCTCGTTTATAGGGCTGGAATCAAAAGGACCACCATTCCTCCCCCATCAACACACACACACACACACACACACGCACACTCAGTCAGGGAGTCATGGTTTTCTATAGCACCATACTGCAGGATAGGTGTGGACGACTGCAGCATACATCAAACATATTCTGGTAGTGACCTGGCTACTGATGCCTTCGCCATGGGCACCAGAGGCCCCACTCCGACTGTAGCTGTCATTCGAGCCATAAGCCACTGGGCATCCTCTCGAAGTCTGCCGGCCCTTCTGTTCTCTTTTTGGTAGGTCTGATATGTTATTGTAATCAAAACGGATTAATTTGTAAAGTCCTATAAATAGCACTTTCCCTCCTCCAGAGGACCTTGCTATTGCTACTTAGAAAGAATGTAAATTATGGAGGTGTGATAAATTTACAAGTATTTAGTCCTTAACCTCTAGCAAGGTAGATACTGGACCAGAGTGTAAAAACACAGAGCACTTAATATACATAGGGAATTCAGGAAGAAAATTTTGATGCTTATTTTCCAACATCATTTCTATTTTTCTCATTACCATAAGATTGGTCACATATTTTGAACAATAGCATTCCACAGTAGTCACTGGCAAATTAGAAATAACATATGCTTTATAAAAAAAAAAAAAAGACATCAGAACATGATTTAAAGTAAAAAATAATGGTAGCATTCATTTGCCAGTAAATAATGAATATGTAATCTATTTAATTACAAATTTCCAAATATCCATTCACATAATAAAGACAAGAAAAACAAAGTAAAATCAGAGACGTTTTGTAGAAATAAGCACTTCCCTATAGGCACATGAGCTTGAAGGACAAAGTACTGATGGCTGTAGGTGTTTGTTGTGTTAGATGAACTTTGAATGTCTTGATGCCTTCAGCACTAGTCAGCTAGTGCCCAAGGAGGTGCATTTTGAGTTTGGACACTTTTCACATGAGAGCATCATATTTCAAAAGGAGACAAATGACCACTGAAAGTAATCATTAATATTTGTTCTTTATGGAGGACTTTGTCTTGACTATTAATTAAGCATGTAACTGTATTGCTAAACTTATTGAAGACTGGCAGTGGATGTCCTGATATTCATGTTTTTTAGAATACACGGAGGGGGGGAGGGTGGTTATAATCACATAATATATGGTTGTACTTCATTTTTTCTTAAATAAAGGGTTAGATCAAGACTCAAGTTTCATTGACAATCTTAATGTTTTCAGTGTCAAATGATATATTAAAATAACTGCAGTGAGTCACAGAGCGTATATCCTACTAATAGTGAATTCTCAATAGATCCTTTAGAGAAGCAACAACTAACATCTTAGTATAAAAAACAAGAACAAAGTTGACTTCAACAGACTTGTGAAGGCTTCTGGTTGTTTGGTAATTGTGATAAATTTCAACACAATAATGTATTGGATACTCAACTAATGGGGTTCTTATACACCTGTCAATTAAGACCATATTTCTAAAATTTTCCCAAAGATAAAATATTTTTAAATGAGAACTTAGATGATCTAGACACTAAAAATTTTAAATAACTTTTTAAAATTCAAACGATATGACCTCTATATTAAAAAAAAAAAAAAACAGAACCACAATGGGACAACTAATAAATGTCATACAACCTTTTGTTATTTCTACTAAAGTGTTTTCAACATTTGAGACCTTGAATTTCTATTAAGCAGTTCTGATAAAAACATAATGTTCTTTCTTTTCCCTGGATGGCATTATGTCTATTATGAACAAATGTTCTCAAAGAGCAATTTTCAATGTATTTTCAACAGAGACAACTTAACCTGAAATAAGAATTGTACATATTCACTGCCTGATTCAGAAATAGTTACATTCCCTTTCCATGGAATGTGAGTCTTCCACAAAGAAATTTAAACCAAAGTTTCCCCAAATTGCAGTAAAAGAAATCTTTTATATACTTTCAAATACTGTGCCTTTTTATTTAAAACAGTGTAAACATAACAACTCAACACCACCAATAATTGGAAGAAGACTGGGTATGTGAACACTAATTTCCTTGGATGCCCATGAAAGGGAGGGTAAATAAACAGACAGATCTTCGGAGGAGGTTTCAGTTCACCTTAGCAGTGGTAAAAATATTGCTTTATTCCAAATGAACATACAACACAATTTACTGTTCTTTGGGGGGCTTCTTGTGAACTGAATAGTCTGGGCTTTGTGGTTTCAACAATTTATTCTTCCCATATTAACTACAGAAGCCGATGCCTTGGTCCACAAGTAGTAGACTTGCTATAAAATAAATGGTAATGAGGATGATGAGAAAGCAAATGGAATCTGTCAATTTGTTAATTGCCTTGTGTAAATAATTTACGTAGATATGACTCAAAGCAAACACACATCCTCAATTAACTTGCTTTGTGATGCTGACCTCATTAATGAGCCAATAGTTATTCCTCTCAAAAGTACTCATATCAGAAAATGGTCTAGACATTGTCGAGAGTTTTAGAGGACCCCACCATGCAAGTGACCTTGATTTAAGAACTTACTGAACTTTATACGTAATGGAAAAATTTAATGTGAACAGATCTAAGAGGGAATTTCTTTTCTGAATATTATTAATAGATTCCCTGATGTTTCAGAACAAATTTTAGCAAGCTTAATACACACACACATGCACACACACGCACAATTGAACACATGTGCATACAGCATATGTGCTCGAGTGAGCGAGCCCACACATACTCGCGCACACACACACGTGCACACGGCACACACAAACTGAGAAAGGCTCCCTCAGAGCCTCCAAACCATCTGGAGGAAAAACATTTCTATTAGCATGATTTTAGTGACACGACATTGTGATTTTTTTTGTCTCTTTTTCTGTTATAATTTCATAACTCCCTCTGAGATTCTGCACTTTCAAATTTCAGAGGAAGATGGCACACACGAATAGTTAAGATTGCCCCCGATCACCCCCTCTATCTCCTGTCCTCCTTCCTGTTCCAGAGTCTTTGTGCCATTCTTCGAAAATCAAATAGAAAACACTACATTTGTTGACATGACGTAACCTGTGATGAGGCTATTGGGTGAACAGAAATTTAGGGGTTGGGACTGGCAAGCCAGATGGCAGGGGCCACTTGCTCACTGGCGCATCCACCCTCCAGACACAGCTCTTGTCTTTGAAACCAGGTAACTGCCAGTGCTTTTTGATGACGACACTGGCACTGTGGGACCAAGGTTCGGAATTGCCCACGTCGAAGAGCCAAAGAGGGCAGTGTTGGGACTAACTGAAATTGGATTCAGAATTCTACCCAAAAGCTTCAGTGGTAAGCTTTATCCCTCCTGAAACATTTCTTTCCCTTTAAAAAAATATTTTGTTAAAAAACACTATGATATGAGGGCGATAGACTATTTGGTTTCTTCTAAGTAGATGCTCTTAAATTAATGCATATAAATAATTTGTATTTAACTTCCTTTCTTTCCTGTTGAGCAAAGCATAGAATGCACAGATTCCTACATCTCGAGTCACTTGGTCAGTGCAGAGTCTCTTTGTATTTCATTTCTTAAGACAAATTGTGCCTCTCGTTCTGATTTGGCCATGGGACTCAGGGGGAGAAAGGCTGTGTTTTCACTCGCACTGTCCTCGGTTTCTACGCTGGCCAGTTCGTAGTCTTCTGACCTCCTGGCATCAGTCAGAATTCGGATCTGCTCCTGGACAGTTTCTAGCAATATTTTCACTTCTTGTTGTTCTGCTATAAGACAATCGCTGACTGGAATACTCACATTGACAACGTCAGCAGAGTAGGTGTTTTTGCACCATTTGATGCTTTTGACTTCAGAAATCCCTGGCATTTGCATGCAGGTTTCCTCTAGACCCACTGAAGGGATGATGGGCACGGAACTGGCCCTTGTGGATGAATATCCCACCAGGTCCTTTTGCTCCAAGCTATTAAAATAGGGGTTTGTCTCTCGTGAAGGCAGTTGCATATTTATTGACGCATTTTGTTGGGTTTTTAAGCCATTAGATGAATACCTGAAAAAGAAACAAAGTGTTACACATACTTTCTGCTGTGCTTTGTTAGAGCAATATTCAACCCACAAAGCACTTTCCACATGCACCATCTCACTGAATTCTCACAGCAACCCCATGAGACGGATACTATGTTCCCAGTTAAACAAAGAAGTAAACTGAAGCTCAGATAGGTGAAGTGACTTGCCCAAGGTCACACAGAAAATAAGTGACAGACTGAGACTCAAACCCAGATCTTCTTACTTTAAGTCCAGGGGTCTTTCAACACACCACAGCTGTATAGGCAGGTGGGATATAGTCTTCCTGACCTCTATCCTAGAATACAAAGTAAATGGGGGTTGAGCAGGTAAGTGTGGCCCTTCCATAGTGACACACAGGAAACCCATAAAGGCATTACTCCACTCCATCAACTCAACCACCCTCTCAGCCCTGGGTTAGTCCAGTAGACTCGTGGCCAACCAAGCTGAAACCCGATATTGAGCATCAGGGTCCTACAGTCCTGAGATTTTGCTTCATGCTGATTTTAGGGGATCCAGATCCAATTCCCGCTGGCACTCTGCTCTACAGAACTCTCTCTGCCGGATTGCTGAGCCTCAAGATGGGAATGGCAGGTACACAATTCCTCTGCCTGCCCGGGAATGAAGATGAAGTGGGTTCCCAGGGCCTCTATCAGTCTAGCGGCTTTCCGCATACGGTTCCTGAAGCCAAGGAAGCCAGGCTGCATCGGTGCATGGCATGGGCTTGTCAAGAACGCCAGTGTGCCACAGCACAGAAGGCCAGGATACCACGCCCTGGCCAGTCTCCTTCTTGCCTGAGCAGGGCTAGGAAATCTTCCTCTGAGCTTTCCAGTGATAGAAAGTGGGACAAATATACGGTAGATTCATAGAAATGGGTTTTTGGAATTTGAACAGTAGTTTTTTTAATTCCATTTTCTCAGTTATTTTTCCTTTATTTAAACATTAAATTAAACGTTAAAATTTCTACACAATTTAAACATATTAACCCGCCACATAATGAATCTCATTTCCTTGACTTACATTATAATGTAACTAAAAATTGTCTATACATGTAGATAATAATTATGATGAAGTGTGTTGCATACTAAATAGAAGTCTGTATAGGAAGGATTTGAAGGAAACATTTTAGAGGTCTGTCTTTCCACCAGACAGTGATCGAAGATAAGGAACACACTTAGGTCTTTGCAGTTGTACCCACTCTTACTATGCCTAATACAGAGATGGCAATCGATAAACTGATCAAATGAACACATGAACATAAAAACAAATCTTCAAGGTAAATGCTCCCTTTATATTCCAATTAATATCCATTTTTAAAAGTAATAACAACAGCTAACATCTGGATAGGGCTTTTAGAAATCATTTTGACCTCCAATTACCTTATTTTTTAAAAACCTTGCAGTTTATTTATTATTATTGCTGTGTAATGGATGAGTAAACTAGACTCTAGGAAGCACCCAAATGACTTGCCTCAAATTACACATTTAGTAAGTGGCAGAGGAAGAATTTAAACCCAGTTGTCTTATTCTAGTTACTATCAAAGTCAGAGACTGCTAATGAACACCTTTTTGGGGATATATAATCTTTACTCAAAAAAGTGTACAGCCATGCATTTGGAAATTCCCTGGGGGATCTTACTCCTGTCACTGTAGTGTTATGTTACTGAGCCTATAGTTTTGATTGATGAATCAATTTGAACAAGAAGAAAGGGGACAAATTTCAGGCTCTTGTGTTTTGTCCTCAGCACTGTCCTGTTAGTATCATTAGTGTGTATGAAGACATAGATCTTCTGCCTACCAGATCAGATGGAACAGAGCCAAGAAATACGGCTCGGATAAAATCATATTTCACATGCATATAATCAGGGTGTATCAGCAGGTGGAATCTAATAATTTGAAATGTGATGGTGATAGGTACAAATTCTTATACCAGGATCTAAACACTATTGATAAAAATGTTAGATAAAGGGGTAAATATCTTAGAGGATGTTTTTAAATTGCAAATTCAACAAGTCAACAACGTAGCATGGCTAAGACATTATCAAAGGCAATTCATACCAAAGTTGGAGCATTCCTCTAATATGCCTGAGTGCGGAATTAAGGACTTAGATGAGAAAGAGGAATTGCAGTTGATGATTATGTGTTACTTCCCAAGCCTGGTATTTAACACATGGTTGGTGATACCTGAAATCTAAAATGTTACCATGACAGAAAGATGGGCTTTAAACAATGAGAACTCTCCAATATGTGATTTTGCTTTGAATCAAACATGATTTCAAGTCCCAACGCCATTACATGCTGTGGAATATCAGACAAATGGCAGCCTCCCTTTAGTCTTCCCATCAATTAAAACAATCTGCTAGTAATACTTACTTGATTACTCTCTGGGAAGGGGGTTTTTCTGAGGACTAATTGAAATAACGCCTCTGCTCTGTTCTGCAGGAAACACAGTAGTATCCTTACTTCCTCCCTAGAGTTGCTGCGAGTTTCCCGGAACTGGTATTCCAGTGGAAACTTAAGTGGGTGATAATTTCTAGATGTGATTTTGAGTTAAAAGACATTCAAAGTTCTGTAATCCTTGAGTCAATGACTCTTTCACAAGTTGGATCCATGAGCTTGTCATTCCAGTTTGGATTGCCTTTCCTCTCATCCCTCAACAAACAAATCACAAATGCATTTTGTCTATAACTACTTGAGTCAAAGCATCCTTTTAAACAAGAAAGATTCCAACAAGTAGTCACTTTGGTTTGGTTCTCAGTAATTCATGGGTCAGGTTAAGGAATGTGTGTTTCTAGGGGACTCCAAGACTCAGCTCCTGGGGCATAGGGCAATGAATGACTGGACAAATTGAGGGAATCCACTTTTTCCCCTGGAGCCATACAATTAAATTTTCTGTTTACAAACCATCAGCCATGAATGTGATTTTCTTCACATCCCTTTTCTGATCTAGTTGTTTACATAGTCAGAAAGGCCAGTATTCAATTTCAGCTCTTTTACATGGGACAGTGTATGCCCTCATGGGCTAGCCATTTAAACTCTATTATCTTTAGTGTATTTGTCTATAAAATTTCTAAATAGCTGAAGTGAAATATACAAAGTTATTAGCTAGGTGTGGTAGGTACTCAGTATATTTTGCATTCCGTCTACTTTTAAGATGTGGATCTAACTTTTGTGATTCCATTTCTTTCTGTCTAGCATATGAACACACTATTATGGTTCGATGTGTCTGACATAAGCCAGATCAAAGCTCTGTGAGCCATTACCATGGTTGCCACAGACCAGGGCTCTGATCAGGGAAAGGTTCCTCAAGAATCTCCTCTCTACCTCACTCCTTCTCCAGGCTACATGAAGATAGGTGCTGGGTTCAAGCTGGGAAGTTCATGCCAAGAAGAGAAGCGCCATACACTAGGAGCCTAACTGTAGCAGACAGCGCCCACATGCTTGGTAAACAAGGAGCAGATGGCTGATGCCTCTTGCAAATTCATTCCCTCCCCCTCCAGGCGAGGGCCAGATTTGAAGAGGGCCTTTAGCTGTGAAATTCTATTACCAATCCCATTTCCAGTCCAGAGAGACAGTTAGTCCCCTGGGAGTGGAAAATAGCTGTTTTCAAAAACTGAGAATGAGGTTGCTCCCTGAGATTCATTGTGCTGAGCACACAGAGACTTATGCTTAGAGTCACCATTTATCAACATCAGGTGCCTATCACACACAGGGCAATACCCGTGGCCAGCCAGCTGGAGAGAATATTCCCAACCCAATGGTGCCTGAGCCAAAACAAATCCACTACCATGCAGACAGTAAGTGTGAGTAGCCCAGGAGTTTTCAAGCATTGTCTGAACATGCAATGAGATCTCTGAGGCACAAAGATATATATGTATGTATGGCCTGAGCCTGGCACAGGCTCAGAGCATCCTTGCAGCCAGAACACATGGACTGACAGCCATGACGGTGCCCCCACAGAAGGAAGGCCATCATGGGCGGGGTGTTCTGTGCACTCACAAAATCTGTGAAGTTGATTTTCCCTCACTACTCATTCTCCTCCCAACATTCACCCTGAGAATTTTGTATATTTATATATATAGAACAGAGAGAAAGAGAGAGTATGTGTCATGCTCCTAAGAGGTATCGTTAGTGATTTACAAAGAAAAATCAATATGAAACATGATTATTTATAATTTTAGGCTAAATGCAAGCCCTCTTTCCAGAGAGAAGGCCAAGAGAAATGCAAACTGCTTCTTGACTTGAATTATACATTTTGGACAACTTGGCTGTTGTGGTGAATTTGCAACTGTCACCCTAAATCTGTACTAAATGCCTTTTACAGTCCATTTGGACTTGCTTCAAAATTACAAAACCTAGCCACAGGCCATTTATTTCCTATCTTTTGGTCTTTCTAAAGAAATCTGTTGCTGAGCTTTGTTAGACAGGGCACTGTTTCATGTATCTCATGCCCAGAAAAGAGAGAGGTAAGGCTCCGTGCTAGACCTCCCATCTGTTTTGGTCTTTAGCCTGATACAGACAGTATGGAAAAATCACTCAGGCCAAAGCAGCATAGAAACCTGGCTTGGTGCATTCAGAGAGAGAAAAACTAGAGCAACAAGAACCTGGCTTGAGTGAGGAAATTGATTCCTGAAATTTCTGGAGTAAATCCTGTTTGTCTTGCTCTTGAAATTAATGATAACATCATGACAATTACTGTGACAAAAAAATACCAGTACTACTTCTCTGCTTACTTTGTGACAGGTAAAAGCTCTTTATACATACAACTGTGTAAAATCTGCCCAACAGTTCTCAGGGGGCTGGTATTATTTTGCTCAATTTATAGATGAGAAAACTTAAGCTCATGATAAAATTTTCTCAAACTTACATGAGTAGTAAGGGGCAGAAATAAGACTTGAACTCCCAGTTAAAGTAAGTTTAAGTACAGGCTGCCATGTGTGGTTGGGCAGCTTATGCCAACCACGTGAACGATGGCTAGAGTTCATCCTGCGCTCCATTCACCACGCTTGGCGCCCTGTAAGGGTCTGTGTCCACCAGAAGAAGGGACGGCTTCCGCACTGTAAGGAGTAGCAGCCTGGTTGCCATGCCCACCCTTCCACCCCTGTACTGTGACATTATTCTCTCAACATTGACCTAAATTCCACACTCAAGCTCAGCGGACGCAGACACTGTGTGTGTTACAGGTTATTGTTTAGGATCTTGTCCACAATACCGATTAGAGAGTTAAGGCATTTCATTTTTCTAACCTACAGATAAAGGAACACTTCAGTCCTCCTAAGAAATAGGTATTATTATTATTTTTAAATCAAAGACAAATTCCCAGTTGTTTTAGCAATGATATAATAACATATTGCCTAGATATCTACAATACATTTACTTTCTTCCTGGTGTTACATTTCTTTTCACTATGACGTTTCCCTGGTACCTATATCTGTTATAATTATTCTTTGAAGTTGGTTCACCTTTTGTGGAATAAAGATGGTAGTAAGCACAAATAACAAATTAATAAGGAAATCAATGAATAAAACCCCCCAAAATTTACAACTTAATTTAAGGTTATGGCATTAAAGACACCCTCCCTGAATTCCATTGTTTTTAAGACCTACCCTTGGCAAGGTATTGTATCCTGGTCTGGGATCCTTGATTCTTCAAGTTGCTGATATGCTGGTCCCACAATTCCACCCAGCCTACTCCGGGGCGAGGGGGGTGTCCTCCTGAAGGCATTCCTATGGAGCATTCCACTCCTTTGCCCTGGGCTACAGCAAGAGGAGAGACTCCTGCTGGGGTGGGGGACAAAAAAAAGAGAGATCATAGCAATAGCCTCATGGGTGGCTGCCCAAACTTCACAACACTGCATTAGCAACTCAGATTCTCAAAGTTTAGGCCAGGGGCCAGCCATGGGTGTAGCGTATGTGCCGGGAGTGCAGCAGGAGTTACCCAGTCCACTTTACTCTTGGAGATGGAGACAAAGAGAAGTTCCTGTGTTTCTGGCTTTCCAGTTTAGAGATCAACGGATGAAAATAATTGCAGTTTCCAGAAACAAGAGGCACTGAAGGAATTCTCATGCTCCCGATTCCCATCCACCCTGATTATCCAAGTCACAGTAGCTGTCTCTAATAGAAATAAAAATGGTCTTCCTATCAGACACTGACAAGAAAGAAGCACAGGAAGCCCAGAAGGGATTTCTGGAGAAATTTTCACTTGTTGGTGATAGAATAAACAAACCCTATTTTAATTGGCATTCTCTCCTTAACATATGTGTTAAATTCCCAGTTCACTGCCTCAGATTTTCATCAATCTTGAGAAACTATTTTTCTTTTGAGTTTGCTTTTGATAAACATTTGATTATATATTTTATTTGACTCATACTTCCAAATTCTCAAATATTCACATGTTTACAGATGCTATCAAGGGCAGAAGACATGAGTGGGTTTTATCACAGTCCTTAACAAAGTGAGAACTCCTACATAGATTATACACAAAAAAAGAACTAGGTGCCGTTAAAATTAATTGCTAACTTGACTCATTACCTATTCCACATCCATCCTCATCTCCACCCAACTGAATTTAGCCTCCTGCAGACTGGTGAGGGGAACTCTGTTCCTGGGTAGAAATTCCATGAGATGCCGGATTACGTGGTCAAACTGGTTCTGCAGTGCTCAGATGATAAGTGAGCTCTGAATTTTGTGCTGCACTCTCATTTAACTTTGAAAATATTCGTACAACACTATAGAAAAGGATTTTAAAAACCTTCCAAATTTCAATAAATCTTTTAAGTTCTCCCAAAGGAATTTTACCCATATCACTATATTATCTGGAGTCCCATCACTTTTCTCTCATTAATATTTAAGTTATTTCCACTTAATAAATACAAAACAAAATGTTGTAAATATTATTAAAGGTCAGATTTTGAGAATGTGACATTTGAGCGCTAGTGGCCAATTTCCTGGTTTTGGCAATGTGACTGATCAAACTTCATGTTCCTCGGGTCAACATTAACTTCCTGAATTTGTACAAACATGGGATCATATCTGGCCACATTATTACACCCTCACTCATTATCATGATGCCTCTTGCATGACTTGTCCCAAAATGCCTAACAACAGGGAAGTCTAGTTAGGTCACTAAATCAACAAGTATAGGGAGCTAATTTGTTTCCCTTTCTGTCTACATCTATATACCATCCAAGGGCAACGGTAGAGTCTGCAGAGTGTGGAGACTTGGGTGCTAGAGTTGGTACATCTGGGTGTACATCTCAGATCTTTACGGTACCAGAAGCATGATACTGGGGGAGGTACTTGACCCGGTCAGAGTCCTGAAGGGAGACAGATGGCACTTTAAATTGTGTCATTTGAAGAGATTTCACTATTTACAAAGGTGTGTTCACTGTTTGAGAGGAAAAAGAAGAGGGATACTATTGTACTTCAGGGCTGGTAACAACAGGAAACTGTTGTTATCCCTCTGACTGAAAGGACAAGGAGAGGGAGCAGCTACCAGAATGGACAGAAACCAAGTTGTAAGGAGAAGGCCACGTGGCAGGCTATGTGGTCCTGGGAAGAAGGACTCAACTGAGGCACCAAGCAGGGAGGGAGGGGGCGGAAACGCCATGATCTCACTCTCCTCCTGCCCTCCAGCTCTTGTCTGTACCTCATATGAACCAACAGAAACCAGAGGACAGGCGAGTCTGCAGCCCTCCTGTTGCACAGGGCAAGACAAGAAAAGGCAGAGGCTAGGTGGCAGGGCAGGAGGGGACTGGCAAAAGGAAGATATCAGCATCATACTTAAGAATGTTTATAGGATTGCTATGGAAGTTAACAGAGAGAAATAAGCAAAATGTCAAGCGTGGAGTCTAGCACATAGTAGGTACTCAACACGATGAGTTCACCTACTTCCTCTGCCATAGCCGACACTTCAAAGGATGATCCTAATCACTGGACTTACTTCACTGTTAAAAAAAAACAAAAAAACCCTCACATATGGGCTTTTAATAAGTGAGCTATATTGCCAAAATATAATTCAGTAAATAGGACATGCCAAGATAGATTTATTTTTTAAACAGATGGAAGATTTTTTTTAAACTAAACCTTAGAAATAATGACTTTGAATTAATAGCTTTGTTTCATAATTGAGTTATCCAAATGAGTCATATTTGCAGTGTACACAAAGAAATTAATTATTCATAGCTTGCTAAACTGTCACCACAAGGAAGTCTATCAGCATGAACAAGTGGCCTGTCTTAAAAAAACTGTTCTACACCTATTGATCAATCAACTATTCAAGCTTTCTAACCTGGTGGCATTCAGGAAGTTGTGGTGCAGTTTGCAGGATATATAAATCAGTGCCTCGGTTATCAATCATGAAAACATTTAAGCCTATTGCATGTTTTACAAAACAAAAGCTATAATATACTAAGCTATAATTTACAAAGTTCTGAAAGCACTTTATAAGTCAACTTTTGCATACGTACCAGGACACAGTGCATGCCAACACATACTGCAATGTCATTGAACCAAACAAAAACGAAGGTCTCTTAAAGACAACCTTATTTAATTTCTGAGTAGCTCCTAGAAACCACGGTAGAAGCCAAGTATAGGAGAGGAGGGAGCATATAAACAGACAAGAACTTGGAATAGAGGTATTGCAGCTCAAACATATTAGAAGCCATAATTTTTTTTAAATCTCAACTTTAAAACATTTACAGCATAATATAGTTAATATAGTACTAGAGCAGTATTATATTGGATTATTTCACTTGACAAGGTGGAATGCTACTTCAACAAGTGTTATAATGAGCAGGGGGATAATACTGTTTTGGAGAAAATATGTGTCTTCTAAAAGCCTGGTAATTTTGGACTTATTTCCCTAGTTAAGACAGTTTACATTAGGTTCAGAGAAATGAAATGCCCTATAAAAATTCTGTAAATGCAACAATTGATACAAACCAAACCTAAATAGGCTAAAGCAATTATCCAAGAGTCAAACATATTTCAATCCCAAGTTGAAGATATTTAAACCATTTATTTTTAATTGGGAAACCCTTCGTATCTTAGTCTCTACTTGTGTAGAATAAGAATAAAAATCCCCATCAAATGCTGAGGATTAGTGTCAAGAGTGGCTAAAATCTCAAAGTAAATGTGGCCAGGAACAATAGAATCCTTTCCTTGTGACTCATTAAGAGGCAAGGGAGAAGGTAGTTTTCTTTCATAGTGTATGTGTTGGCACAATGGTATGCAAAGTGTTGCCCAGTAGGTGAAAACAAATGGTCAACAACATTTATCTTTCACTGCTAGGAGCAACAGTTATTATTTACCTTTTACTTTTTAAAATTTTAATTTTTTATAATTTTTTCAAATTTTAAAATACTGTATTTCTCACGAAGAGAAGGGAGTTGGAATCTCTGGACAAGTTCCACAAAGATTGAGGATATAGATTTGGATACACATAAACTTCCAGCATTAATCTTAAACTTTGCCACTTGGTTTAGAACAAATTCCTTCAATATTTGGAGTCCCTCATTCCTCAAGTATGAAACACAAAAGTGTGGACTAGAAGATGCTGAAGGACATGTTCAGCTTTAGAAGGCTATGAAATGTATCAAATAAGTTTATTTTTTGTCTTTCTCTCCAAAAGAGCCAATTCATGGGGCCAGCTTAGAAGAAAGTACAACCCCATTAGTAACAGAAGATCTTACAGACTCAAGGAGATTTACCAGGCTTCTTCCCCCTCGAAAGTTTTTTTTTTTTTTTTTTTTTTTTGGTAAGAACCATGTTGGAAGACCTGGAGCCCACCACGTCAAGTACCTAAGGAAGTCATTCATTTTGCAAACTAGAAAAAGCAAGCTAGGAAAAAAATCATGTTTTTAATGGTTTTTCAGAATGCAATCATCTCTTTCACTGGTTTGTGTCCGTAGCTTTGATGGGTATTGTTATGAGTTCCGGCAGGCTCTTAGGGGAGCAGTGCTGCCTGCCAGGGAGCTGGTTATCTTTGGAGAACTACAGGATAAGCAAGAACAATCATCTCTCCTGAGTAATGTTGCCATTCCTCGGCATGGGCCGTCCAGCATATACACAGTGTGACCGCGCCCACTCCCGCCATGATTAGCTACCTGTACCTGTGGTGTTTGACAGATTGGCTTCCTCTGTCAGGAGAAGGGACCTCGGGGAATGACTGGGGGCCGACAAAACTTGACTCCATCATTTTCTCCAATGCAGTCACAGGATGCCTTTCCGCCTTTGAGTACTGTGGGAAATCACATGCACAGAGTTGAGCTGGAGGATGTTACGAGAGGAGGGCCTATAATACCACACTGAGGCATTGAGAAGTTGCTGGAATGCCAGCTTCTGCTGGGCACCTGATCAGGAGGGTGGGAGAGACATCATTTGTAGCTGGTTTCTCTCACACTGAGTATCCCCCACCCCCTCCAGTCTTCTCTTTGATTAGATAAGGTCCATTCAAAAGGGCTCTTCCCTTCAGAATCCTGAGTCTGTCTTCCCATTTCAGTCTACACCCATGGCACACTGTGCCTGACCACCAAAAAGCACTTCCAAGTGTGATACATTCGATGTACATTTTCTTAAAAAAAAAAAAAAAGTTGAATTAGTAGCTAGGTTACTAATAATAGGGTTTCAATAGACATTGGTTGAGTGAACCTCATAATATTCTGAGAATTATAGAGGACATCGATTCAGAATATCTGCCCAGCACGCTCCACTGCTTCTCCCTTTCAGCCTCACAGGTAATTACCATGTCTAACAAGAGAAATTTGTGAGCATTTCACTCTTTATGGTTCCTAAACCTCGGTTTCACCTTTGACTATGATATTTAATACCTCATAGGGCCCA